ATCCATGTTGCTGAATAAGGCATTCTTTCCCAACAAATGTTTCCGTTCTACCATCCCGAGGTGTTTCGGCATTTTATTGGTTTAATATATATATTCGAACTAGGGCTCATTACCTATCCTAGCAAATTAATTATTATGGAGCTACAAAAATTACAGTGAGCACCTAATAATATTAGGAATTTACTATGAAATTTTTAGAGCAACACTATCACCAATTTATTACAAAAATTCCTACAAATTTATATCTTAACAATGTGAAGCATCTCAATTTAATTTGATAACTCTAGAAAATACTATGAAACTATGTGAACAAGATATACTAGCAGATAGATTTTAGGAATCTAACAAAATTAGTTTCATAATTTTTGGCCAACTACACAAATTTATATTGTATTTATAAGTTTGCCTTAGAAACTAAATTGGAAAATGCTTAGAAAAGGAAAAAGGCTGGTGGCAACCAGTTTGGCCCATCAACCCAGCGGCCCAGCGCGGGGCACGGCCCACGCGTGAGACGGCCCACGGTGGGGAGCCCGCGTGCTGGCACTTAGCAAATGAGCCCTCAGACTTTTCCTGAACCACGACTAAGTCCTAATACTATTTCTTCCTTTCTCTGGCGAGATCACTTAACCCCCGAGATTTTTCAAAATTTCCCCGCGTGCACCCCCGGCCACCCTGTGCACGGTGGCGCAGCGAGCGGCGACACTGGGCATCCACACCGGCCACCAGGGGCCTGCGCGGACCCATTTAGCAGCTCGGTCGCCATCTACGGCTAAATGCGCCATGATGGGTGGCGGTTAGGGGCTCGGGGGCACACCAGTGCGAGTTGTAGCGGCGAGCGACTATCCACAGCGGTGGCACAATCGTTTCGATGAGAGAGAAGGATGGATGGGGAGGAAAAGTGGTGTGCGAGCACCAGTGACATACCACGAGTACATCCAACACATTCGTGAAGTGGGAGAGACCCCGTGCGATGCTGGCCATGTACGACCGAGCGAGACAGCGGCGCTCCACGATGTACACCGACGCGTCACCACGCCGCCGATGAGCATCCTGGACAAAATAGTGCGAGCACCGGATAGAGGGAGTCAATGCGAGCTTAGGGTTATGAGCAATCAAACTACTACCACTCCTACATGCCTTACCTCCTAACCTTCTGATTCGGCGGCGCCCATGACCGGCGACGAGCAAAAGGCCAAATTGTCGGTCGGTAGGGCAATGACCGAGCTTGAGGGGGAAGAGACAGCTAGCCTACTTCCTAAGCTACCCGCTAGAGCAAGGAATTATACGACGAAGCCGCTGGCGCTAGGAGTAAAGGAGGAGCAGTGGCTCAGCACACCGTGCGGTCATGGAGAGGGCACAAGAGCGAACCCGAGCAAGTTAAGATGGGTGGCTCTGCTCGATGGTGGCAGCAATACGAGCCTATGCGTACAGACGACGAGACCTCAAGGCTTGGCATGAAGCGCTCGGAATGGCATGGCTAGACCCAAGCAGGGCTCCCCAACGTCGGCTAGCGAGGGCAAGTGAGCCAAGGAGGTATCCCATTGCCGCTGTGACCGGGGTCGTCGACCTAGACGCGGCGGGCGGCGGCACATGCTCAGAGACTTGATGCGGTAGGTAAAATGAAGGGCGGGGAGAGCACCACGACGGTAAGGCGGCGACAGCCGCAGCTTCGTCTCGACCACGCGCGTAGCTCGGTGGCTGGATGTTGGCGCGCGCACACCGTGGTAGTGGGACTAGACCGTAGCCAGCCGGGTCGAACAACGCAAGGCTAGGGCACAACGCGGCATCGGCCTGGCGCACGAGCTAGCCAGTGACCACAGTTCGGTCATGACGTGAGCCTGGCGCCAACAACATTGTGCCCATGAACTCAGATCGAGTGACCGCTATTGGTGACGTGCACGCATTTTAAAGCGAAGCGAAAGCTACTAACGATCACAATTGAGGCCCAACTGTTTCTCCTATCCTAAAGTCAACATTACCAGTGACCTAGCAAAGCCATCGCCATGGCCAAAGAGCAACCAGAGAGGGGGATAGAAGGATGCCAACATGAGCTCGTCGCGCTGAACGCCAGTTAATGAATAGAGCATCAACAACATGATTACAGCACGTTCCAACAAAGTTTTGACCTACCCCATGCCCAAGAGCTTACTTAGATGCAACCAACAATACAAGAATATGAAACTAGTGTTTAAACATTTTAGTTAGAATTTAAACGCTAAAATGACATTGTCTACTACTCTTTCAAACTTAGAAAAGACAAGAATTCAGTTTGAACTTAACAACCATAAACACTTTTGCCACAATTTTTAAAAGGCCTAATCTAGATTAACTTCAACCAATAAGTACTCCATACAATAATCCATACTTTATATGGAACCATAGGAATAAAATATTTAAGCACTATTTAATTACTTTGCTCAATATAACTAGCCAAAAATAGTACTTTAACATAAGTCCAGGTCTTTGCCGACTTAACGAAAAGGTTGATTGTAATTCCTAATTTGATTTTTGGAGCTCCCAAGAACATTAGTTAACACGTTTATTTTCCAAAAATTAAAGTTACATTTTCACCTACACCACTTGCTCATCATCTTTACATAAGCACTATACACAAGTTATATTTTATTTTTGTTTATAGAAATTGTTTTTCGTACCAAACAATTAAAACTAATTATTTTATTCTTCTTGTTATGATTTTCATTAGCACGTTTACGCACTGAGTAAATTAACTTAGATATTTATTTGATTTTTCTCAACCATAAAAGTGAGTCACGCAGAGTTTGTTTATCATTTTATGTGTGTTTTAAATTTTTAAAACTCAAGAATTTGGTTTGCTAATTTCTCTTAGACCTTAACCTAGGTGCTAAGCAAGCCACTTATCAGCCGTGCCTGCAGTGTGCAGAGATTTGCAAATTTCAAACCGAAATACCCACGTCCTACTCCTATCATTTGCTCCCGTAATCTGGTGTCGGCATCGATTTATTAGCAGGCTAAAAAAATTAAGTGAGACATTCCAACCTCCAAACCGCAAAGAATTTTGTCACGGCTGCGAATGATTGATTGAACACATTACAATTTGTTTTTTCTGCTGTTTCTTTTAATCTCAATTTAGGACCAGCCGCCCCTGGAGTTAAAGGCATCGTTTAAATTTAGGGTGTAAAGTTTTAGGGTGTTACATCAGGTGTCATATGGGGTGTCGTATGCGGATATTTGGATACTAATAAAAAAACAAATTATAGAATCCGTCAGTAATCCGTGAGATGAATTTATTAAGCCTAGTTAACCCGTCATGAGCACATATGTTACTGTAGCACCACATACCCAAATCATGGACTAATTCGGTTTAAAAGATTTATCTCGTAAATTAATCGTAAACTGTGTAATTAGTTATTTTTTAAATCTATATTTAATACTCTATATATGTGTCAAATATTTAATAGGATAGAGAATAAATTTTAGGAGGAGCAACTAATAAGACGAAAGTTCGCCGGGACACATTATTGTACAGGCAGTCATGCAGTGCAACTCCGAAGCCATGCTCCACCGCTGGCTCAACACATGGAGTTGCAGGCTAAAAGCAAACACACCACCATCTCCCCATCCTCCTTGATCTCAACACTGCAGGCAATTCCAATACATATATACATTTACCCATAAAAGCTGAATGTTTCCTGCTGAAGGGCACATGGGAAAGAAAAGGCTGCAGCCAAATGCAGAAATGGCAATTGACACCGGTGGTAATCAGTAGGGATGAAAATGGATCGGATACGAACAGATATCACTGATATTATATTTGTTTTCACATTTCTAGTTAGATTCGGATTCGAATACGGATAGTATCAGCCATGCCGGATAGGATATGATTAGATGTCGACATCATAAATATGCGATTTGAGTATTCGGATACGGATACGGTATCGGATGTTGAATATCCGGACTCGGATACGGACAGATCTGAACCCCTCTAAACGGATTCGGACTCGAATACGGTCGGAAAATATCTATACCGTTTTCATCCCTACTAATCAATAGCTAATCACACCTAATCCTTGCCGGTTGGAATTGATAAGCCGAAATTGTCACCGATACCTATGGCCTATGGGTGCAAGTGCAAATCAAAGTAAGTTCAGAAGCTGAAAGCTGAAGTACATCAGAAGCACTTTTCAGGAATTCAGGACCAGACATGAGCGTGGAATATCCTAATGATCCACAAAGTCGAAGTAGGGTCATTTCCAAAACCAAATCTTGACATCAGATAGACTAGTGTCCCTCTACAAAGTACAGTAAGAAGCTGGTACATGATGAAGAGACCCAAGTGAACTATGGCCTTGTTTAGACTGGGGTTAGGAATCAGTATTTGGTACTGTAGCATTTTTGTTTGTATTTGACAATTATTGTCCAATCATGGTCTAACTAGACTCAAAAGATTCGTCTCGTAATTTACAATCAAACTGTGTAATTAGTTATTTTTTTTATCTACATTTAATACTCCATGCATGTGTCCAAAGATTTGATGTGATAAAGAAAGTGTGAAAAAACTTGCAATCTAAACCAGGCCTATATATTATAAGGGAACATATCTAGTGCAAACCAACCTCTCCGTGCAAACCAACTGCGGGGGAGAGGTGGGAGGGGAGATTTGCAAAAGTGTAATTACCTAATTACACTTTTGCAAATCTCCCCTCCCACCTCTCCCCCGCAGTTAATTACACTTTTGCAAATCTCCCCTTTCACCTCTCCCCCGTAGTTGGTTTGCACGGTTTGCACGGAGAGATTGGTTTGCACTTGATACATTGCCATATTATAATGAATAATGTGACGAAATATGAGCCAAGCCCTGAGAAACTCAGGCTTGTGTTGAGTTCATTTATAAGCAACTACGTACTAGATTCTGTACTGATACTTATTCTTACGTTGAGAACTATAGACTGCGAAATGTGGATGAAAAGTGGTTAGCAATTCACTGTCATTGATCCTTATTTCGATCTTGTCCGACAATGTCAGACATCAAGAGGCCTCTCCTCGGCCGCCTTTGGTGGCTTGCTCTCGAGTGGCCGCGGCGCAGCCTCGAGCAGCAGCTTGACGACGGTCCTCATGGACGGGCGGTTGATAGGGAGGCTGGACGTGCAGAGAAGCGCGACGTGGAGCGCCATGACCATGTCGTCCCTGGACGAGCCGGCGAGCCTCGGGTCCAGCACCGAGTCCACGCCGTCCTTCTCGATGCCGCCCTGCACCCACCGCACCAGGTCCTTGTCCCCGAGCTCCGCCCCGACGGGCTTCTTGCCGGTGACGAGCTCCAGCATCACCACGGCGAAGCTGTACACGTCGCTCTTCTCCGTCACGCGCAGGGTGTACGAGTACTCTGGATCGCACGGACGCACGCAAGAAAATCGATCACCATGAGCTCACAAGCAAGAAATCATCAAGAAGGTGAAGTTATGGGTAGCTCACCGGGAGCGATGTAGCCACAGGAGCCGGCGATGGCCGTGACGGCGGGCGGCCCGTCGCCGATGACCCTGGCGACGCCAAAGTCGGCGACCTTGGCGCCGAGCTCGGCGTCGAGGAGGATGTTGTTGGACTTGACGTCGCGGTGCACGATCGGCGGCGCGCAGTCGTGGTGCAGGTACGCGAGGCCCTCTGCGGCGTCGACCATGATCCGGTGCCGCGCCGGCCACTCCAGGAGGCCTCCCTTGCCGCCGTGGAGGAGGTCGCCGAGGCTGCCGTTGGGCATGTACTCGTACACCAGCAGCCGGCAGTCGCCGCTGTGGAAGCAGCACCACAGCTTCACGATGTTCCTGTGCCGGATCTTGCCCAGCGTCGCCACCTCCACGTCGAAGCTGTCCTTGCCAGTGCCGTCCGCTGCCTTGCCGCCACCGCCCCACAGCTTCTTGACAGCGACGGCGACGTCCTCGCCGCCGCGCCTCAGGACGGCCTTGTACACCTTGCCCGCCGCGCCCATGCCGACCACGTTGTCCTCGTCGAGGCAGCTCACGATGTCGTCCTCGTCGAACCCCACCTTGTGGAACGACGTGAGCACCCACCTGGGCCTGCTGCCGCCGCCGCCGCCGGGCTCCGCGGCGTGTCCATCGTGGTGGCTCCGGTGGTACGTGTAGCAGAACCACGCAACGCCTAGGAGCAGGACGACGCTGGCCGCAGCGAGGATGGAGACGATGGTGCCCACGAGACCTCGACGGCCGGTTCTGGATTGGCGGCCTCTCGGGCACGTGCCGCGGCACAGCGCCGGGTTGCCCACGAAGCTGTCCCTGTACATGGAGCCGGAGAACAGAGGAGGCAAGATGCCGGTGAGCCGGTTGTTGGATACGTTGAACAGGCTCAGCTTGAGGTTCTCCAGCTGCACCGGCACATCTCCGGTGAGCTCGTTGTTCGACAGGTCAAGCGAGTTCAGCACGGGCAGCTCGCCGAGCTCTGGCGGGATGGCTCCGGTGAGGTGGTTGTCGGCGAGGTCCAGCTGCGTCAGCTTCTGCCAGCGTCGAACACCTTGCGGCAGACCGCCGGACAGCGAGTTGTTCCTCAAATCGAGCCGGCCAAGCGTAGAAACCTCTGCTAGCGACGCCGGCAGCGTCCCGGAGAACATGTTGTTCGCGGCCGACAGCTCGAACAGAGCAGGCAGGGTGCCGATCTGCGCTGGCAGCGCGCCAGTGAAGCGGTTGTCGGAAATGAGCAGCTGCGACAGGTTCTTCGCCATGGCGATGGTGGGGTCCACGGTGCCGGACAGCATGTTCCCTGCGAGCTCCAGGAGGTACAGGTGCGGCAGGGCCCACAGGCCTTGTGGCACGGTTCTGTACAGCCGGTTGTTGGGCAGTCGCACCCGCGTCAGTGTCCGGCATTGCCCGAGCTCCGCCGGGATGGGACCGACCAGTTCGTTGTTCAGTATCAGGAGCTGCTCCAGCTTCCCGGCGTTGCACAGAGCCGCCGGAATAATGCCGGAGATCCGGTTGTCCGACAGGTCCAGGAACTCGAGCGGGCAGTTCTTCCCGAACTCCGGCGGCAGCTCCCCGACGAGACGGTTGCTGAAGAGCCTGAGGTCTGCCAACGCGGGCGCCTGCCCCAACGTCGCGGGCAAGCGGCCGGACAGTTCGTTCTGGTACAGGTGCAGGCTCTCCAGCCTGGGCGCGAGGAACACGTCCGCCGGTATCTCGCCCGAGAGGCGGTTCATGGACGCGTCGAAGAACCGCAGCTTCTTGAGCGCCCCCAGCCCCTCCGGCACGCTCCCGGTGAACTGATTCGAGTAGAGCTCGATCTGCATGGCGTTCTCCATCCTCCGGATGCTCGACGGGATCTCGCCGGTGAGGTTGTTCGTGGAAAGGTCCAGGTTGACGAGGCCGCTGAGGCTCCCGATCGACGGCGGGATTTCCCCGACGAGGCCGCACCCGGCGAGCCACAGCAGGCGGAGCCGCGTGGCGCCGGAGACGTCCTCCGGCAGCGGCGACGGCGCGAAGGGGTTGTACGCGAGGAGGAGCTCCTCGAGCGCGGTGACGTTGAACAAGAACCCCGGGAATGAACCGGAGAGGTCGTTGCCGGCGAGGCTGAGCGTGGCGAGGGAAGGGAACCCGGCGCCGTAGGCTCCTGGCACCTCGCCTGAGAACGCGTTGCCGGCGAGGTCGAGGTGCGTGAGCGACGGCAGCGCGGCGAGGCAGGGCGGCAGGGGCCCGGTCAGGGAGTTGTATGAGAGGTCGAGATGGACGAGCGACCCCAGCGAGCAGAGCGCGGACGGGAACGTGCCGGCGAGGGAGAGGTTGGAGAGGAGGAGCGAGGCGACGACGGCTGGGGCATGGGCATCGGAGACGGAGGAGCGGTTGGAGGAGCAGAGCAGGTGCGGCCAGCGGCAGGGCGACGGGGAGTGTCGCGGGTCCCAAGCGACGAGCGCGGACGCGGGGTCAGAGAGGGAGGACTTGGTGGCGAGGAGCGCGGTGAAGTCTGCGGGTAGCGCGGCGGAGGCGGCGGTGGCGAGGGGGAGGAGGCACAGCAGGCGGAGGAGGAGGAGCAGGGGAGTCATGGGGGAGGTGTGGAGGGAGAGTGGATCGGCGATGTGGTGTGGAGCGAGTGGGGGCTTCCGCTTAACTGTCATCATCAAGGGGGTGTGGGGGTTTAAGCACGCGATATGGGTATGGGAAGCAGTTCGGCTCCCCTATGACACGGCACATCGGCTTCGGCTCGGCACGTTGCAAGGACGCGACATGGGAAGCAGAGCATCCCTGGCTCCCCGCGAATTCATCAAAAAATGTATGTTTTGCATAATCATTACTTTACTAATTATTAAATTGTTACACTGCAACTATTCTTCCATTTCTAAGAAACCTTCTAGTTCTGTCATTTTTTTAATTTTAAATAACATAAAATAACTAGCGGGTTGAATCAAATATCCACCTATACTACAAAAACAAGAATAATTTTAAAATAACATAAAGTATAATAGTATAGGGTGGATATTCTTGTTTTAAAATAGTTTAGATATCATATTCTAAAATTATTCTTGTTTTTATTTGAATTACGCACCCTTCCGTTACGTGGGATACACCTTAAATTTTTATTTAAATTAACTACTTCTGTCCTCATTAAAATCAAACTAAATTATCCCTACAAATCTATATCTAAACTACCAATTATATACTATTATAGAAAATTCTAAGTAAGCGTAAATTAAAACTATATATGTTTCTCAAGTTCGTCATCGGCATTAGACATGTCGAGATATGGAAAGTACTCCTAGATTCGCTTGCTCCACACGTCGTGAGCTCTACTCTTCCACGCATTGGGTCCGCCTGCTCCACCATCCGCGAGCTCTCCTGCTCCACGCCCTCCATCCGCCCGCTTCACGCACAGACGAGCTCTGTCCCCTGCATGCTCAGGCTTCGCCTCCTCCACCTGCTGGTGAGCTCCGCCCCTTGCGTGCCCAGGTGCCGATTCCAGCCAATACCGATCTTGTGTGGTCTGTATTGGTACTATATTGTTTGATGCCGTGAAAATACCGTGTAGTGTGTTAAATTCGAAGATCACATTTCAAAGCATCCAAACACGTGATATTGAAGATATACCATTCTAATTCCGTAACTCCAAGCTCACTACCAACATCCAAACAAGGTGTAATGGTTTTTTTTCATGCATATTTGCATGTCTTTATTCAATACCCTAAAATCGTCCCAAAATACTGTAAGTTTGTGACGAGGACATGAGCTCCATACATACGACCATGCTTGGAGATAGAGGACGAGCAGATCAGCGATGGTGTCCTAATCGAGAAGGAGGCTCGAACCTCATCCGGTTCGAGTCACCAAGGTGTAGGCCCAAATCAAGTTTGAGCCCATCTCGGGTTCCAGAACCAGTATGTCATAAAACTAGCTACACGGGCGCGTTCGGGCTCCGTTTTCGACGATCCACGTATGAATGGAAAGCTAATTAGATAAGAAAGCCAATACAAGTGGTCTCACGACAAAATCCCTTCGGAATCAACGGGAATCGTCGAAATAAGTCAGCGTCCAGAATCTGCCAGGGTGCTGCGACACCGTCTTTTGGTCCATTGAACCGTGTATCGTGCTTGGGCCCATTAGGGAGCGCGTCCAAGGGGGGTGACGTCTGGGGCTCTATAATTAGCAGTCGTCACTCTCCTTAAGGTTTGGGTTTTGTTTAGTTCTTGATGTCCTCGTGAAACAAACGTCGTTTTGCTGCAACTGTACCGCCAAGGTCGCTTGCTGTGAACTAGGGCCCCAGTTCTTGATCTTGTTCGCCTGTGGCGATTAGTCCTTTCGAATAAAGACTTGAACTCCTTCTCGTTATCATAGGACTCATATTTATTTGTAATTTCAGATTACGTTCATCCCGTTCTTACTTATGTTCTCGATTCACTTACAGAAAAGCCTTCTCGGCGAGGTCAATCGCGTTCGCGTGGTTGATAACCAACGGAGCAGTGGTGTAAGGTTGCGGGGGTTCGAATCAGTCTTGGTTCGAAGCCTAGATCGTGAACGTCGAGTCTCCACAAATCGACGCTATCATACCTTTCAGAAGATCAGGCCTCGTCTACGTCAGTTTGAGATGCTTTCAAACTTGTAATTAGTGAAAACCTCAACAATTTTTCTAAGTTTTAAACCAGTTATGAACATAAGAGATATGGGTTTTATACATTGTTCGCCTAAACGGCCGTTTAGCCTGTTTACACACCGTTTAAACGCTACACGGTGGTACACCGTTTCCGTTTAATCGGTTGTTTTGACCGTTTAAACAGCCGTTTTCCTGTTTAAACACCCGTTTTGCCCGAATAATGGACTAAACGGTAGGTGACCGACTGTTTACCGTTTAACGTTTAGGATAACATTGGTTTTATATAATAATTACTAAATGCAAGGAATTTTTTTAAAAAAAGAGTTTGTCTACTGTACACACGTGTGTTTTAACATAAACCAACACATGGTTGCTGGCTGTATATAAAACACACATATTTCAACATAGAAAAAACCATGTGTTTTTAGACTAGTTAGCACATGGTTGTTAAATGCCTAAGAAACACACGAATTGAAACACCGAAAAAAACATGTGTTTTAAGAGAATGTAATACACAAATTCCATCAGGCAAGCATGGAGAATGGCCGTGCAGCATCTGCAGTTGGAAACAGAAGCTGCACATAACCAAGCAAAGTCAGATCAGCTGAAGCATCAAGATGAGAAAATGGAACTAACTGATAATGGTATTAACAAAGACCAAATTCAGTAGGAAAGAGCACTGACCTTTATCGGAGCATCAGAAGATTTTACCACACTGACCATAAATGGAGTGAAGAACACCCAGAAAATGTCATACACAAAGAATCCATCCTGGAAATGAAAAAAGGAAAAATGCATTTAGATATCAATGTAATAAAAGAACAGAGAATGATTTAGTGGCACTATATTGAAAAAAACAGAAGAAATCAATTCAGTCAACAGTGATGAAATGGTTGTAAAAATTATTTTCAGAAATAGTGCAGTAAAAAATGCAAGGGCCCAGCCCAAATTACTCCAGAAATCAGAACTATTAATCTATTATACATCAGACAAAGGTTCGATATTTTAATATTCATGATTAATAACTGATTCATTACATATGTTAAGAACTAATATTACACTTGCTAAGAACTACAATTACAGTGCCCAATATCTGCAATTTACAATATCGGTGATTGCAATTGTGTAACCGAATTTTATATTTGTGTTGTTTTCATCAGCAGCAGGTAATAATAATAACAAAGCAATTTCAACTTCTATAGTTAGCTAATACTACCAGTTTCCTCCCACTTACCTACCCCACCAAACAAAGAAACATAAATTAAACTATTACATTTCATCAGTGTAGGACTCAATCATCCTGTCCTAGCAAATTTCTAAAATGTGTCGGGACAAATCACAACTAACAAATTTTTTTTATAGGAAGATAAATATTTAGAAATCTAGCAGATCTATGACAAGCACTGAAGATAAATGTCTGAAATCTCTAACAGCCTCCTACCAAGAATTAGTTAAATTATTATTGAGGGATGTAGCCTGAAATCTCTGAAACATGGTAGTAAACTATATGTAAAGCGTAGGTTAGCTTTGCATACGGCTACAGAACTTAAACGACACAGCAATAGCAATACTGAAGGACATTTCTGCCTCTGCTATCAACTTTGAAGAGCTAACATCGAGCATTGTCGTGCAAGTGCAACTTCGAGAATGAAAGGGAGAAATGATTTGCCTCTGGCTATTAGAAAAGTACTAGTATTATTACTAATTTAACTATGGTGTGGGCTAGCACAAATCACAATAAACAAACAAAAAGTTGTGGCCCAGTAAGACATTACACAATTGTAGAAAATATGGAAAACAGACAAACTATGAATCCCAAACCGCTCAGTTCAACTATACCATGTACAACCCACTACACAAAACCAAGATCAAAAAAGTTGGAAGGATTCTCGTGGAAGAACGATTTCCTTACTAATAGTCAACCCTTGAAAGTAAAAAGGGACATATTGTATATCCTCAACACTAAAATTGCAGTGCTCAATAATTACAATTTACAGCATTGCTGGTTGCAATTATTAAGTAACTGAATGTTTTGTTTGTTTTTTTTGAATAGAACAGATTAATAGGAACAGAACACTACGACAATTATGGACAAGAACAATAAACGTCACTAATCCATTAGTGGATAGGCCTGAGGAGATACTATATGTTCAGAGCATCTATAGCAGTCTATTCACATGCCCGGGAGCATGCAGCAGCAGCAGAGCGCGGCCAAGCTGCAGATCGAACGCACTGACAGAGAAGATTTTAGGATTTTGAGTAAATCAACACAAACAAAAAACAATGCATACAGGAGGGTAGAAAGTTCTATGGAATTACATCAAGGTACTTCTCTCGATCCGGTTAAGTTAGCTGATCGCCTCTTCTCTCAGTAACAAAAAGGTCCGACAGATCAAGGGTTGATTATGTAACATGTTAACAGATTTCAAAATGTGTTAGCATAAATCACAAGAGACAATTTTTCTATAAAAGGACAAATGGTGTGTATTGGCACAAATCACAATTAACAAAGTTCAAAATGTGTTAGCACAAATCACAAGAGACAATTTTTTTTTATGAAAGGACAAAAACAAAAACTTGATGTGGGCAGACACAAAACACAATTAACAGACGAACTACAACTTCAACACCACCAGTGAACTACAACAGCTATGGACAAGAAGAAGGTCCATGAACTTCAACAACTTCATATGTCAACTCGAAAACAACAACCTCACGAAATTTTGCAGCAGTCTTAGGTGTTCGAAGAGGCCCTACAGAGAGACTGCAGCAGTAATCTGAAAGTGGTCAAGAACTGCATTCTATATTGATTTCTCATAATTTTCAAGCACATCTTCAAAGCCAACCAAAAGTAACCGTGGCACCTGGATAAAGCTTCTTTCCACTAAGCATGATTGCAAAGAGATTTCTTCATCAACATGCTATCTGCAGCCTATAAAATACACAATAATTGGTACGATG